GTCTGGGCGACAGAGTGAGATTCCAACTCAAAAAAAAAAAAATCCATTATATAGAATATTAGAAAATGATAAAAATGCTGTGGAGAGAAAGCATAGGAAAATGTGGAAAAGGAAGTGAGGGAGTGGACAGTGCACATGCCTAGCAGAGTGTGTGCTAGTAGTAGTAGACAAAAGGAGCAACAAGTGCAAAGGCCCTGAGGCAGGGCCATCTCTGGCTTATTTGAGGAGTAGTGAGGAGATAAGAGTGACTGGAGCAGAGGAAGTGAGGAGGAAGGAGTAGAGGGAAAGCAAAACTACCAAAGGACCAGACTTCACCTCTCAAATATAGTCTCTGGGCCTGCAGCTCCAGCTTTGCCTGGGAGCTTGTTAATAAGGCAGAATCCCAAGCCCTATTCCAGTCCTGCTGAATCAGAATCTTCATTTTAACAAGATCCCCAAGTAATTTGCATGCACTTTAAAGTTCAAAAAGCACTTCTGAAAAATTTTAAATGGAGGAGTGACAAATTCATTTTGTAAGACTCACTCTGGCTGGCTGTGATATTGAAAAGAGACACGACAAGGGCAAAGATGAAAGCAGAGAGGCTGAGTAGGAGGCTGTTGACATCATCTCGGAGACAAAGTATGGTCTCTTGGACCAGGGTGTAGAAGTGGAGTGGTAAGAAATTGGTGGATTCTGGATATACTTTTGAAGGTAGAGCCAAGAGGATTTCCTGGTGGATTAGATGAGGGATGTGAGAGAAAAAGAAGAATCAAGGATGACACTAAGGATTTTGGCCATCAACTGAAATGAGGAAGATTTCAGGTAGGTCAAGTTTGGAAGGAAAAATTAGAAGTTCAGTTTTATATGCAGTGAGATTTATTTTATTTTTAAAAGTTTATTTCATTGAGCCAGGGTCTCACTCAGTCGCTCAGGATAGAGTGCAATGGCACGATCAGGGCTCACCATAGCTTCAACCTCCTGGGCTCAGGAGATCCTTCCATTTTATTCTCCTGGGTAGCTAAAACTACAGGTGTGCACCACCACACACAGCTAATTTGTTGATTTTTATAGAAATAAGATCGTACCAAGTTGCCCGAGCTGGTCTTCAACCCCTGGGCTCAAGCGAGTCTCCTGCCTCGGCCTCCCAAAGTGCTGGAATTACAGGCATGAGCCACTGCGCATGGCCAGTGTTTATTAAGCATCCAAGTGGTAGAGGTTTGGGCTAGAGATAAAATTTTGGGGATCATAAGCTCTAAGTGTCATTGAAAGCCATGATATTGGACAAGATAACCCGGGAAGTGAATATAGAGGAGAGGTCCCAGACCTGGGTTTTGGAACATTCCAACATGAAGAGGTTGGTGTGAGGTAGAGAAGCCAGTAGAGACTGACTGGGAAGGAATGGTCAGTGAAGCAGGAGGGAAATCAGGAGAGCATGTTGTTCTAGAAGTCAAATGGAAAGTTTCATGAAGGAGGGAGTGATCAGCTATGGCAAGTACTGCACATGGACCAACTAAGATGAGGACAGACATGACTATTAAACTTTGCAAAGAAGGGGGTCATTGATGACCTTGGCAAGATAAGTCTTCTCAATAAAGCCTCACTGGGCTGGGCGCAGTGGCTCACACCTATAATCCTAGCACTTTGGGAGGCCAAGGTGAGTGGATTACCTGAGTCCGCAGGTTCGAGACCCGCCTGGGCAACTTGGCGAGACCTCATCTCTACAATA